CCCACCACAAGGAGGAGATAGAATAGGAAGTGGAATGGGGTGTTTTTTTTTCTCCCTTTAAAATCCAGTGCTAAATCACTTGAGTGGCATGCCAGTTAACATTCTTTCCATGGTATCTTCCCTTCACTAGGGATGGGATTTTTGGAATTAAACTTTCAGGCCCGTAATTCAGGATTGGGAACCAGCAAATCAGCAGAAGGCAGAGTTGTCCTCTTTCCTCCATGCTGTTGCTGCCCTGCTTCTTCAAACTGTTAGGAAAATGCCTGGCTATACAGTGGAAGTCGCAAGGATGTCTTGCAACTTGCAATGGTGGATGGGAGGACAAGTTCTGATGAAAGATATCTCCATAAAGCAGTCCTTGTTTAATCACAATGTCCACTTTGCAACTACTTCAGCGGACTTGGACTTGTAGAAAGCACAAGTGGTCCAGTGGTGAGACAAAGCAAACCCCTGCTTCACCAAGAAAATTATATGATGCAATCGCCTTTTGAAAGCGCTATATGTGTCATCAGTCAGACTGAATACTTACTCTGCAGATAGTCCTGGCTTTCCACCTACTGCACAATACTCTCAGGAAATCAGATAAATTCCTGAAAACTCCTGTCTTTCTTCATATGTATTATTTACTGAAAATGATGCTAGTTTTAGTGCAATCTTCCACACTCACCACCAGCACTCTTTTGCTAATTATTACCAGGCAAGAACCATCACCTGGGGTATGAAAGACTGGGCAGAACGGTTGTTGGCCTTTTCAGGATGGCAGGGACCTGCAATTTGACAACTTATGAGAGGCATATATTCTGAAAGCTTGAAAAAGTTAGAGCTGCATCGCCAGGAATTCAGTGGGCGTGCCGGGTAAGGGATTTTGGAAAAATATGGGTAAAAATCAATGACTTAAAAAAATCAAGTTGATTTAAAATCACAATTTTAAAAAATGTTTTCAAAATTTAAATCATGATTTAAATTTTGAAAATATTTCTATTTAAATCATCAAAAAATCCAGTTTAAATCAAACCCACCCTGTTTTGACCACTACCACCCACCACAGAGAGCTGTAAAAATAGTGACAATTTTAAATACTATTATGAAATTTTAATTACAGTGGTACCTCGCTAGACGACAACCTCGTAAAACGATGAATCCGCATGACTATGAGGTTTTGCAATCGCTACAGTGATTCACAAAACAGTGATTCCAGTGGGGGATTTTCACGGATGATGATTTGGTCCATGCTTCGCAGACTGTTTTTTCACAAGACGACAATTTTTACAGCTGATTGGTGGTTTCTCCAATTGGCTTCCCTGTGTTTTCGGGACCCATGGTACGCAGGACAGCTGATTGGAGCTCGCAAAATGACTTCCCTATGGGCGATCTTTGCAGGACGACGATGTAGTTTCCCCACTGGAATGCATTAAATGGGTTTCAATGCATTTCAATGGGGAAACGGTTTTCACATGATGATGATTTCGCTAACCAGCGATTTCTATGGAACAGATTACCATTGTCATGCAGGGCACCACCGTATTATTTTTAAAAGGGCAAAGGAAAAAGGAGGGGGGGAAGAGACATAGTGAGAAAAACATTACGGGCTAGGGCTGTCAGACATATCATTGGCTAGACCAACTGCAAGTAGAATTCTCAGGGAGGGTGGTGGTTAGAAGTCCATGAATTTCACAGGCCTGGATGAACAGAACATTAGGAGCTCATCTAACACCCCATTTCCTGCCTGAAGCAAAAAAAAACACATAGAAGTACAGATGGATGGGGGTGTAAAATGCACCCCTCCTCACCGAGCAAATGCCCTACTTCCTTCGGCCTTAAGGTAAGGTAAAAGTTTCCCTTGACATTTAGTCCAGTCCTGTTAGACTCTAGGGCATGGTGCTCATCCCCGTTTCCAAGCCATAGAGCCAGCGTTTGTTCGTAGACAGTTTCCGTGGTCACGTGGCCAGCGTGACTAGACACAGAACTGTTTCCTTCCCGCAGTGGTGGTACCTATTTATCTACTCGCATTTACATGCTTTCGAACTGCTAGGTTGGCAGCATCTGGGACAAGCAACGAGAGCTCAATCCGTCGCACAGATTCGATCTTACGACTGCTGGTCTTCTGACCTTACAGCACAGAGGCTTCTGCGGTTTAACCCACAGCGCCACCACGTCCCTTCTTTTGGCCTTACTGTTCCTCAAAAGCTCAGTGATTATACTTAGTGATGCATGAAAAAAATGACAGTCTGGTGGGGGGGGTTCCCCCAGCAAGCTACATAGTCAGTTCTAGATTACATATCATGTTTCAGTCTCAAATACACTACATGCCCTTGGTGAATGCAGAGATGCACTGACCTTGGGATTCAACAGCAGCCATTCCAAAACAAAATCTTACATTTTCTTCTTTCTAAAGGCAACTCTCGAGCATCACTGCAGCTCAGCACAAAAGCGAGTCATACCTATCTCTAGAGATGAGGTCATTAAGCTGGAGGAGATGGCTGTGAGTAACCACACTCAATTTTTAAAAAAGACTTTCAGTTGGACGGTTCTTGTAACTGAACTATGAAGCAAGAAATGTAGGCTGTGGTGAGGTGAAGAATTCATGTTACATTTTATCACTTGGCAGAAGAATCTATTGGATCAATAATTATGAAAGAGAATGCAGCACTGTCTTTTAGTTGCTAGAAGCATAATGACATGGGTTTAGGCAGAAATATCTTATTACACTCAGCAGAGCTAAGCCCCCAGAAGAATAATTCATAGTTAATATTATAGCCTACAATGGAGATGGTTTTAAATATTTGACAACATAATTTAAAAAAAATAAAAGACATTTGTTATTTTTGCCAACAAGATATACAAGAAGGCCAAATTTCCAAGGCAGTCTAAGACTGGTTAGTTTTTGGTAGAATAATCATGTGCAATTAGAGCTGCCACTTATATATGTTCAAAAGGGAGGACAAATGAGGACACTGATTTGCATAAAACTGCAAGTGATGTTACACTCAGACACAGAGAGACACAGATGCAAAATCAGAAATGATCTTTACAATTTAAACATAATTAGAGTGCATCACTGTAACTGATTTGAATAAAAACCCTGTTGTATACTGGAGTGAAGTGGGACAATTCTGAACAGGCTAAAGTACATCAAAAAAATCTAGAATGAGTTTATAAGTGTTGCTAGCCCACAAAACCTTTTACAAGGCCAGCTGACTCATCCTTTCATATCTGTGTCCCAGGCACACTTGAACTCAGTTTCTAGCATTAGAAAATATGCAGATATCTATTTTCACATTTACATAGCAGAAGAGTTTATTTTTTTATTTACAATTAGATTATACGAGTCCACTTCCTATCTACTCAAGATAATAACAGCCTAGGTGTCAAATTTTTATATATTATGTTATGCCACTCTGGAATTACAGCCCTAAACAATTGCTTCCTGACGCCATATGTAATTTTTAAAATTACATTCCCTGAAGTTGACTCAAACTTTCAGCATATGGTAGGTTTACATACTTAGAAGCGATTTATCATTCTTCTGAAGGTGCTCTGGGACTATGAACTTGTCCAAAGCTACACAGGCTGTTTTTTCTCACAAGAGGAACAGTGGGGAATCAAATTCCCAACAGCTGGCACCACATTATAATTAGATACCTAATTCACTAAACAGTCCAATCACCTCACATAGAACTACCCATTTCTTAACAGCTGTACATTAAAATGTGGGCATAAATATAATTATTACTAGGACTGATAACAGCAAACTGAATTTTTCTCAACACTTTGCCTTCTGTAGTTAAAATAGATATACAGTAGTACCTCAGTTTACGAAATTAATGCATTCTACGGGACATTACATAAGGTGAAAAAAATTGTAAAGCGAAGCGCAGATTGCCATAGGAACAGGGGTGGCACTATAAACCTCCAGGCACAATGCACCTGGGGAAACTTTCTTTGTAAACCAAAACAAACAAAATGTAAACCGAGGCATTATTTTCTGTGGATTTCCGTTTGTAAACCAAAAATTATGTTAACCAAGGCGTTTGTAAACCAAGGTACTACTGTATGTTCTTTAAAAGAACTCGAGTCTTTGTGGTACACTCAGGAATTCCACCAAGTACACATATTTTAAATTATATTTTGCTTTTTTAATCAAAGAAAAAAATAAAGCATTTCAATGCCTTGTGACTCAAAAATTTAAACATTGAGGTGGAAATACAGCTATGATACACATACCATGCGCTGCAGCACCACTGGCATACAACTGCAACACTGTCTGATAAAACAAAGGAGTTCTGAGTTCAAATCCCCATTCTACCACAAATTTCATTGAAGAATCTTAATCACTTACTATCTTTCAGACTTAATCTACTTCACAGTGTTGGGAGGATAAGAGCAAGAGCTCTCAGATTAGGAAAGCCTTGTATATCATACTTTGAGAAAGGATATGGTAACAATTACCACAGAAAAAACATTAACCTGCACTAGTCACCAAGTTAACTCTATGACAAATATGCAGTTTATATATAATTTTTAATCGGTACTATTTCTGTATAAAAGCTGACCACATACAGTAGCTTCATGTAGCTTTTGCTATTGTCACAGTTCTTTTGTTAGAGAGGCACAAAGCAGAACTGCCTACATAACAAGATGACCTCATCTTGCATAATTGGGAAAGGCCAAAAATAAATAAGTAAATAAAAGAATTGAAAACACCGGGGCACAGAATAAATGGCTTGACTTGACGCCAACGTGTGTATCAGAGTAGAAATTGACGTGTATTTTTTTGGGAGTACCCAGGTAAAAGGTTGCGAAATAAAAAGTAAAGAGGTTAGGAGCTGTAAGCACAATATACAGATGTACACACTGACAGCTGCCACACCTGTAGACGCCTCAAGGATATATAGAAGGTGATGTAAATATACCGACAGATCTGCATTTTTCAGATCTACCGGTATATTCGGATAAACCCAACCGCAGATCTAGAGATTAAACATACAGGGAAGGCGTACCTGACTCCTAGGACCTCCACAGACGCAAAACGTTCCGCATTTCTTCCCCGGTGATCTTTCTTTTAATCTCACCTCCTCTCTCCTCTTTTCTCCATGAGCCGCAATACAGACCGGCTGCGCTATTCAGCCCTCTTGGACTTCTCTGTTTACAATCCATCCCAGTTCACACCTCAAATTCCTCCCTACGGCAGCTGGGGAAACGGAAGCCGGTCAGGAAGGTTCCGGTCTGCAGTCTCTCGCGCCGCTCCTCCAGCCAATGAACGGCGGCCTCTGAGGCCCTAAAACTATGAGCAATAATTTCAACATCTTTTGAGAGTTGTTGTTTTTTTAAAGCAACTCGCGAGCAGGTCCACTTGTTCCGCCTCATCTCCTGTCTAGCTAACTTATTTTTTTCTAATCATTTTTTAATAACAAAGCATGGCTCTTATTTCAGTGAAACAAACAGCGAAGCGTACAATTAAGACTTGTGCACAGTTACCGGGGAGTAAGCATTAGACACAATGAGTTGCTTCGAGAACCGTACTAAAGCAAGCTAATATTTTAAGCTGGGTTAAGTTTAAGATGACACACAGCATCATGCCCAAAATATGTATCATTCTAACCAATAGCCAAGTGTTTTTCTCCGGGGATACTTTATTTAGAGGGCTCTTCATAATCTGAGGATCTAAAGTGTAGCTTCATTTAATTGTGCATGAATCTCACTGGCTGCCCTTGATAGCTATGATTGGGCAGAGCTTGGAATAAATACTTTGTGGTTGTTGCACTACAGCTGCCAGAATCGTCCAGTATAGACATAATGGCTGCATACTTTGGAAATTGCACTCTTTCCCTCTGTTCCGTCCACAAGAATTGTCCAAAAAAATTAGGACACTGTCATCCTCTTCAGTGGTAACTTTGATTACCTCTGCCTGATTTTACAGTATATAGTCCTAAATACATCCAGAAGTTTTATTACTCATATAGATTAGACCTAAAGTGAGTATACTAAAAAGTCCTGGAATTCTAGTGTAAGACTTGTTCCTGTGAATTACTAAACATGTATTTTCTCTCTTTCTGGATGTGTTGCTTTGAGAGCTCTGAACAGAGCTCTCAAATTCTTGCTTCACAAACCTTTTAGAATTCTTTGAAAAGGTCAACACGCACATGGATGCAGCAAACCAGTGGATATTGTCTATCTGGATTTTCAGAAGGCGTTTGACATGCTCCCACACCAAAGGCTGCTGAGAAAACGCCAGTCCTCTTATGGACTGAGAATTGGTTGAGAACCAGGAAACAGAGAGTAGGTGTCAATGGGCAATTTTCACAATGGAGAGAGGTGAATAGTGGTGTGCCCAGGGAGCTCTCCTGGGACCGGTGTTTTTCAACCTGTTCATAAATGACCTGGAGACAGGGATAAGCAGTGAGGTGGCCAAGTTTGCAGATGACACCAAACTTTTCTGTGTGGTGCAGACCAGAAGGGATTGTGAAGAGCTCCAGAAGGATCTCTCCAAACTGGGAGAATGGGCAGCAAAATGGCAAATGCGTTTCAATAGAAGAAAATGTAAAGCAATGCACATTGGGGTAAAAAAAAAATCTAAACTTTATTTATCACTTAATGGGTTCTGAGCTGTTCGTGACAGATCAGGAAAGGGATCTTGGTGTGCTGGTGGACAGCTTGATGAAAGTGTCAATCCAGTGTGTGGTGGCAGTGAAGAAGGACAATGCCGCACTAGGTGTCATTTAAAAGATTGAAAATAAAACAGCTAATATTATAATGCCATTGTACAAAACGCTGGTAAGGTTGCACCTGGAGTATTGGGTACAGTTATGGTCGCCGCACCTCATAAAAGACATAATGGAACTGGAAAAGGTGCAGAAGAGAGCAACTAAAATGATGACTGGGCTGGGGCACCTCGGTTATGAGGAAAGGCTACAGCGTTTGGGACTGTTTGGTCTTGGTCCAGAGAAAAGGTGTCTGGGGGGGGGACATGATTCAGATGTATAAAATTATGCAGTGGATGGATAAATTGGATAGAGGGAAGCTCTTTTCCCTCTCAATCAAGACTAGAACTAGGGGACATCTACTCAAATTGAGTGTTGGGAAAGTGAGAACAGACAAAAGAAAATATTTCTTTACCCACTGTGGTGTTAGTCTGTGGAACTCCTTGCCACAGCACGTGGCAATGGCATGTGGCCTAGATGCCTTTAAAAGGGGATTGGACAGTTTCCTGGAGGAAAAGTCCATCGCAGGTTACAAGCCATGATGGGGATGTATAATCCAGGCTTAAAAGGAAGGTACCTCAAAATGCCAGATGCAAGGGAGGGGTATCAGGAGACAAGTATCTAGTCTTGTATGCTGCCAGAGGCATGGGGTGGGGCTACTGTGAGATACAGGGAGCTGGAATAGATGGGCCCCTGGCCTGATCCAGCAGGGCTCTTCTTATGTTCTTATGGAACAGGAGCAATATATAACACTTTCTTCCATAATGCAGAAGAGCAGGAGGAAAAAAAAGTAGTTCTCACTGTATCAGTGCTGCACCTTCAGATATATTTCCTATGGTAGCTCTTTGAAATGAAATTCTCATTGGTTTCATAAGGTATCTATATCGTCATGATGCACTTATTAAAATATGTGATATCCCAGATACATAAGATCAGTCATAGGCACATTGGCAGTAGAGAATACTCCGTGTGAAGGGGAAATGGCCCCTTGAAAATCATGCTTGCTGTCTCCAATTTATGTGAGTATTTATATGTTTAAAAATTAATGTTTTTTTCTTAATGTGTTGATCAATTAATAGGGGATCCTTTTGTATCACATTACTAATACAGTCCCATTGAATTAAGTAGAATTTATTTCCTGGAAGCTCCGTTTAACATACAAGAAAGTATTTTCATTTGTGCATAGTTCCTAACTACATTGTTGAGTGCTCCATAAGGAATAATCCAAGGGGGTGGTTCATTGCTTACCAGATACAGTACAAAGTGACTGCTCAGAGTTGAGGTTAGAAGAAGAGATGGCCGATGCACAGCACTGAGGGGGTTATCCAGCTTTGTTCATTTTGTGATATCTTGCTTTACTGGAGGACTGACTCCAATTAGATTTCTTTCTTTCGTGGATGGGGGCATTTTAAACAATGCAAGTACAAAATACTGCACTGAGATCAGAATAGGGAAAATGGTGTGGGAAATGCAGTTGGGTTTTTGCATTAAAGATCCATGAATAGAAGCCAGCAGGAATCCTGGCTCTTTCTTGCTAAATCATATTTCTTCAGACATCCATTTTGCTTTCGGCTTTTATTTTCCACAGGAATCACTTCAAAGCACTTCAGCGGAGGAAAAAATCCTGGAACTGGCCCTTGGAAGCAGAGGAAAAGCTGCCCACTGGAATTCTACATGCCAGCAATTACCTTTTCTTTAACATTCAATATGAGCTATGTTTTATTTCTCCTTTTCATTAAATTGTCCCCCATCCGCAGCCCCTTATGCCAGCAGGCTACATCTTTCCCAAGCCACTTACGTAGCTCCGGTCCTTTTAAACATGAAGATTGTTTTTGAACAAGCCTTTCCTGGCACTGCTTTGTCGTATCCGAGCGAGCGATCAGGCAGTGGGCATAGTTCATTCCCACTGCAAGGCCGCCACCACCACCACAAACAAACATCCACCTCCATAGAAAGAGGTCTGCTATTCTTCTGCTAATGGGATTGGCACCGTTTAGAGCAGTCTGCTAGGACATTGTCTGCAACCACAGCAAGAGAAACATTATTCAAAGGCCATTCAGACCCCCAAAAGAAGCGGCAGAGCTGAGTAATTATCGGAGGCTCTCCATTAACGAGGGCATCTCTGCTCTTTGTCTGTGTTGCTTTAATAAAGCTCGCTAATAGGGTTGTTGTGGGGGAGGGGCCCACTAATGGCTCCAAAGAAAATTCTTTTTTTTTTTGCTCCCCACCCCCACCCCGTCTCCACCTTGTTAGAAGAAGTGGCTTTATGAAAACTGACAGCAAAGCCATAAGTTACCATACTGCATCATGACCTTTAGGAAAACTTTGCGTGAACCCGAAAGCGTTCAAGCCCCAACTCTTCAGTGCCACTGAAAAATTTCCCCACTCCCACCCCTTAACACTGAGGTCTTTCACAGCTCTTTTCTCCTGTCTAAGGAGACCTTAAAATACGTGGTAGCAAGTGAATCTAAGAGAAATGGGAAGAGGGAAGCTTATTGGGGTCTCACCTAGTGCACATAAGTCAAAAAGGTTCAATGGATCAGCCGCTTGCTTTCACTCTTCTCCTGTTCTGGACAGCAGGGCAAAGAACTGACGGAAATAAATGGGCGGTGCTGGATTTCTATACACAGATCCTTATCATGATGATGCTTACCTTCATGGTAGTAGTTGCATCTTGTAGAAGCAATTCTGTGTGAGGATATGGATACTAGCTGAATATGGAGGGGGGGAGGACACTCTGTACGTTACCACATTTATTATTATCTCATACACTCATCACTGAAGCACACCATAGACCAGTGATTCGCAACCTTGGATCCCCAGATGTTCTTGGCCTAAAAATCCGAGAAGCCTTCACCACTAGCTGTGCTGGCCAGGATTACTGAGTGTTGTAGTCCAAGAACTACAAGAGATCCACTACCACAAACCAAGAAAGTAATACCCAATTCTGGGGCTATCCCTTACGTTTCTCCCTCCACCCCCTACGACTTTTCCTTCGAAAGGCTAGAGGTGGGCTTGGTGAGGACCTGGTGAGTTGTGTAACTGTACCCTTTAGCCATGCCGAGTATTGGATGGTAGTTAATTTACCAAACACCTGGAAAGTGCGGCAGCTTTGGCTGACTAGGAGGCTGGTTGAGCCTTGAAAAATTATATCCCCTCAAAACCTCACCTGACTTTCAGCAGCTGCAGTGTCCTTGAGAGCTAAGTGGAGCCACATGGCAAAGGAGATAGGTTGGGCCTTGGTGTGAGAAACTGTCGCTTGATGGGAGCCAACACTGAAAGTCATTGGAAGCCAATAGGAAACCACTACATTGTCCAGGTACACTCATCTTGGCCAGACAAGGAAAGAGTTTATTGGGAAATACAGACTAGAACTACAGAAACAATGTGGAGGAGAAAAGGTACAGTTTTGTGAAGAAGGGCTTTAAGCCATCAATACCATGTTCAAATTTATTTATTTGATATCCCATCTTTGAATTAAAAAACAGACAAGGTATAGAAAC